TTGGGTTTTGTTGTTGCTTTCATTACCTTCACTGTACTACAGACCTCAAATCCTTCTAGGAGAGGGCTACCAAGACCTTTTGCTGAGGGTGGGGCTGGGGTGCCAGAGGGTATTTCTCAGCATCTGTGCTTCCCCCTCAGCTTTCAGCCTTCTCTGCCAGCATGCCCCACAAAGGGCATCTCTCTCCAAACTCTTGCCCCCTCTCCTGGTGGCAGCCCGCTGTCTCTTGTTTCTCAGCCTTGGGCTGGTTAGCAGTGCAGGAGGTTCCCTGTTGTTCTGGGCCTGCCTCAGACCTAGGCTGGACCTGTGCACCTGGGCTTTGGACACGGGGCTTTCTTGGTGTTCCTGCCCTCTGTCACATGGTAGCCAAACTCTGCCTTCCATCTGTGGTCAGTCTTGGGCCAGTGTCTCCTGTCTCTGCTCTGATAATAGGAGAGCTCTGTCTGGCCTTCAACCCTGCCTCCATCTTTCATGTGAGGCCCGTGGAAAAGTGTTTGCTAATGAGTGTGAATTTCCTTGGGTCTGGAGTCCCAGGTAATTCCAGACTGACATGTAGTGCACCGTTGGCCTTTACCAGTACATTCAGATTATAGCTGGTACATTCTTACCAGCTGGTGTGATGGCAGCCTATTCTTTCTGGATCCTGCTACAGCTGAGACTGTTTCTTGTGTCCCTTTTCGCCTTGGAGGGGCTGGTTCCTCTTCTGAAATCAGGTTACTTGATTACCTTTTGACTTCAGCTCTCTGCTGGTCTCAAGAAAAGTTATGATTTTGTGGCTTACCTATCTGGCGTTTTCCTGTTGTTATGGATGGAAACAATGTATTTTGTAGCTTTCTATATCCTAAACATAAGAGTAACTCTCCCAATGTCAGGCTTAAATAAGATTTTTCGGCTGGGTGTGGTGGCTCACGCCTGTAATCCCAGCACTTTGGGAGGCTGAGGTAGGTGGATCACAAGGTCAGGAGTTCGAGGACTAGCTTGCCAACATGGTAAACCCGCCTCACACTAAATACAAATTACTGGGTCTGGTGCAGCCGCCTGTACTCCCAGCTACTCGGAGGCGAAGCAAGGAGGGATCATTCGGAGGCCAGAGGTGCAGTGAGGC